AATTAGGACTTTAAAAGTGTAAATCTGCCTGATAGGCTGTATAGGATGCTATGTGCAGAAACGGGTTTGAAGAGACTAGAGCATACAGAAAAGAAGCTCAAACTCCCAGAAGCTGGCATAGGTGGGGTGGATGGGCTGCTTCATTCTTTCAGGGCATTGTGTCAGGACTATTTCTCTTAGACCACACAACTAACTTCATTTATTTTAACTCTAGGCTAAGCAAACATCTGGATGGAATTTGCCTTCTCAGGTACATTTATCTACAAAAAGAGACTGTACTTGCCATGAGTATTCTGGTCTGTTGGTCATAAATCAGGTATGTACATCAGTCTCTAGGGTCTGGTTAATGTAAGTTTATTTGAGGAAGGTCAGGGTCTGAGCCTTGATGCATGTTGTGACATTTGTGGTAAATAAGTCAGCTGGAAATGCCCTTCCATTCACTCTGCATACAGTAATGTCAAAAGATATACAATGTACCCTCCCCCTCACAATGTTAGCATTGGCACGTGACTGATTACAGGACCTAATAACCTGAATTACAGCCCAGTTAAAAAAATCTTTTTTAAGCAATAAAATAAAATGATACTTAAGAAAACAGTTTCGTTTTGATGGTCGTTGTATTTTTCAAATTTCTGCAAACTATTGGTTTTTCTGAAGTACCTTCTAAAGTAGTCATTTCTTGGACATTGTTTCCAATTTTTTCTTTTTTTCTTTCTTCTCCAAATTATGTCACTCAGCAGCTTCACCAGACCCAAGCCTGAAAAGAATTTTCATATCCCACAATGCAAAAACCAAAAGAACCAGGCACACTGCGGAGGAAGAATATTTGCCCAGAGTGGACCCAAACAGGGAAGACCTGGGCTGCGTCTTCCCTTCCTCCATGCCCCAAAAAGGTCTAAATTTAGTTTACCAGATATACTGCAATGACATTAACATGTTGCAAGAACAAGAATCAAGCAAGAGAGAGAAAAACCAAGCTTAATGTGGTGCAAGATACTTAAATGCCATGGCAACTATGATGTCTTCTCTATTATTTAATTCACTTCCTCAGGTCAGGTTATTCTGCCCTCTCTCTCCTGCACTTCCTGTTGCTGTAATCAAATCAGGTCACCCTGAATTCATGAGTTCTCTTCACGACTGCAGTCGTGTCTTTTTCCAGCAGAATGAATTTTCTCCATCTCTTCCTTTGCTCCCGGACCTTTATTTGGTGCCCTTGATGTTCCCAGTTGCTCTCTGCAGTGCTCCACATGCTGTAAATGCTTCCCTTTCATCCACATCTCCTCCCCCACACCCTGCTCCTTCTCGATGCTCCTGTCCCTGCCCCTCCCTCCGGCTTCTGCAGTTGTCACTAACACAGTTAGCCACTTGATTAGCATCTCAGTGATTCAAGAATCCAAGAAACTTGGTTCTCCTGAAAGGCTCCTGCTTCTCTTCCTAGAGTAAGATAAAGTCCCTCCCTCAGTGCCGTCAAGCTGAGATGACTTGGGGCGTGAATACTCCCGTTCACTGGGGTGGCCCCTGCTTCTTTCTTTTTCTGTGTGTGTCCCTGGAGCTCTTCATCCTCTAGTTAGCTTTTTCCCAGGAAAGGTGGACAGAGAAGGTTTAAGCTTAGAATTTTGGTAGCCCAAACTCCTAGTTCACAGATGGGAAAACTAAGGTCCAGAGAGCTTAACTGACAAGTTGCATGGCTAGTCGCTGGAGGAACCAAAACAAACAGGGTGAAAACTCAATCAGATTGGCAGATAATGGTGGGAAAAAATCTTTTCAAGGGTTGAGCTGGGCCAAAATGAGACTTGATGCTTATTTAAGAGTTCCTTCACTCATTCTGCCCCATCTCCCTGCCAGCAGTGTAAACAAAAGATCAAAGCAGAGCCGGCAAACCAGCCATAGACCCACTGGGACCCCTGGAAAGGCTCTGCCTCCCAGGATCATGGAAACCCTACAACTCCTCCAGCCCCTACCAGCTTGGACCCTTCCAGCCCCTACCAGCAGGACAGGATGAGGGCTCAGCGACAGTCAGATAAGTAAATTCCACACAAGTTCCACATCCACTAGGCTTTTCGCTATTTGCCAGCATGTACAGTGGTGAATTGACAGAATTCTTTCTTCTAAGTGTAGGAAGATGCATAAAATACAAGCAGCCTATGAAAATATATTTACTGCAAAAGTTATATCAGTCTTGTGTAAGTAAGCACCAGCTTTCTCTGGGGAAAGACATGGGTGGTAAAATGAATAAAATAACTCAGTATTTTGACTGCTTGCTGCAGTGTAAGAGGGACTTCTGTTCCCCAAGCTGAGTGTGAAGAGAGGGATTTATCTTTGGATGAAAAGGAAGCAAAGCAGCTTAGAAAAGCCACTCCTTGGTGTGAGTGAGCATGGAAACAAGTCCCACCCTAGGGCCCGGCTGCTGGATGTCCCCAGCCATCCCTGTCCTCCCTGGGAGGGCTTGTGCTGGCGCATTGGGATCTGCTGAGTTAGAAGCTGAGCCCTGCCGCTGTCACGGCGGCACACTGTGATTAAGAGCTCGATTGATTTTCTAGCCCATGACCACACTGGTGGGGACAGAGTACGACAGAGGAGAATGGCCGGAAGCCAAGTGGAAAGAGGGTTTATGAGATGAGCTCTCAATGAAGAAAACTGTGGGAAAGAATGCAATGGAAGCAGATTTGGGGCCAATAGATGTGGGAAAGCAGCACAACTCAAAAACGCTCTTCAGCCGGGAACTAAAACAAAGCGTTTTGCCAAACACAGGAAGAGGATTCAGTCTGAGAAAGGCTCAGCACTGTTTATACAAAACAGAATATTTCTCTCTGCACAATCATCACTGACAAGGCTTAACCTTCTTCCTTCTGTACCAGGCCCTTGTGCTGGGTTCTGGGGCTCTAAAGAAGCAGCAGTCCATCAGTCTAGCAGAGATTGAAAACACACACAAAATGACTTGTAAAATGCAAATGGATCTTAAGGGAATCATCAAAACAATTCTGCCTAAACTTTGGGCCAAGAGCCAGCAGGCATGAGTGATGGGGAAAAGGCCCTGGGACTGTATCCCAGCTGCTGCCTGCCTCATGTGCAAATCTGAAGAAAGTTCTGGCAGGAAGACCCTGGCTACTTCTCACCCCATCCCTTACAGGTCCAGAGGAGGCCTGCTGCAGTGACCGGGGCTGCGTGCACGGTTCCAGGTGTTCCTAAGGCAGCAGGTGGAAAATGAGCACTTGACTGTTTTGGTGTGCAGTTAAGGCTGGAAAACACCCCAGCACCAAAGAGAGAGTTGGACATCCTCCTCTGAACCTAAAGTTAGGGCAGGACACTTGTGACGTGATTCCTCCCTCTCCACAACCATCTACCGTGAACTTGTGTCTCTGTGACTCCACCTGAGTGTTTTGAGGGGAGATTTCATCCAACCTACCCTTCCCCTGCCTCAGCCCTCTTTGAGTAAAGAAATAATTTCTGTTTCCTTTAGCTTTAAGCATTTTTTTTTTGCCCCAGAAGATAAGCTGGAAACTGGAGATGATGATGATTATCTGGTGTGTTTTTGTGCATTAGCGTAACATGTAAGAGAGGAGATGGTATGTTTAAAAAGGGGGAAAGAATCATATAATTCAAAACTAGTGAGTGACTAAGGTCAGTACATGATGGTTTTTTTTTAAATCAGAAATAAAATCCTGTTTCTGTGGTTCATGTTTGAAAATGATGTAACCTGAAGTGGCCCTTTCATCTTCCACTGCAGGAATCCCTGCTCTGTGTAGCTTTGGAGCCCAGGTCTCTGTGCTGGAGGACTTTAAGGACGTTAAATTTAAGCCAGAAGGCTTTAGAAAGGTATACACTAAGCTGGACGACCTCTGAGAGCTCTAGACTAAGTCAGAGGGTCTTTATGTCAGTATAACCTAAACCTCTTATCTTCTAGGGGAGGAATTCAGGCTGGCAGGGGTGGCCTCCCAGAGCCCCTCTGCAGGTGAGTAGCACCAGTACCCAAGTTTCCTAATTCCTGATCCAGGGCCCTTCCCTCCCTTTCAAAAGGGGATGAAATTCCTGGCAGTGTATGGGACAAATAACCCTGACATTGTTGTCTTTTTCACAGAGGAAAAACTGAGTTTAAGAAGAAACTCACAGTAGTCGATTTTTTTTTTTAATCTGGCATTTAAGCACAAAGTCAAAAGCAAGGCGTGGTCTCCCGGGTACTGGAAGTACTTTGAAATCCCCAGTTTCACTCGTCGTTCAGAAAACAAAATGGAACAACTTTCTCTGCTGCCTCCTATTTCCCCCGCCCGCTCCGTGCAGTAGCTGTTCTTGGCAGATGCCCAGAGCGGCACCCGGTAATTCCACGGTACACTGTGTACATTTGCATCCATTTAACCAGCTATTTACAGCTGCCCTTTACCGCCACCTGTAAGAGGCAACGCCATAATGACACTAAGTGGCTGGGCCGGGGAGCGGGTGCCCCGTGATGTTCTCCACTTGAAAAGCCCGAATCCGTGGAGGGTTGGCACTCGGAGAATCAGGGAGACGGCTGGGGACATCACACGTACAGGGCGGGAGGCGCGAGAAGGAGGCGCGCCAGACGGAGGGTCCTTCCTCGGTAGCTCCACTCGGTGGCTCCTTTTCCGTTACCACAACCGCGAGGAGGGACCTGCCGGGCCTTCCGCGCGGCTTGTTTCCTGCCTGAGATAGAGCCTGCTGCCATTTGGATTTGGGGAATTTCTGAATCACCCAAGACGCCTGACAGTCCCGAGGAGGGTGGGGACGCGGCGCGCTGGGTGGGAGCCGCAGTCCGGACTGGATGTCACCACCCTGAGTCTGGAAAACCTGCTCACGGATGTGATGCGGCAACGCGGGGACACCTGCGCTCCCGTGCGTGCCGCACTCGTGCAGCTCCGGGTGGCAAACGGGGTGAAGTAGGGGGCGAGGATGAGAGGAAGTTGAGGCGCTGGAGCGTCAGAAACGCTGCCTTAGCTTCCCCTGCTCTTTGGAGGCTATCCCGGGGCGGGGGGTGGGGCGCGCTGGCGGGCATTGCACGCGGACTTCCAAGTGGCCCCTGGCACAGCTGGAAGTCGGGAGTTCTGAGCCCCCAGAGAGCTGGTACCCGGGGGTCCCAAGTGCCCGTGAGGAGTCCGCGGCGCCCAGGACCGCGTGGCGCGTTGGAGCGCACCAAGCGGCGCAGAAGCAAAAGATAAACCCTGATGGGCCCGGGAGCTGGTGGGCTGGGGTGCAGAGTCAGCGCGCACCCGGAGCGCCTTTCGTTTTAAGGAGCCTTACTTCTGGGAAGGGACAGGGAACTGTCAATCAGCGAGGGAGGGAGCGCACCGGCGCTGGGTGATGTCAGCGGATCAGCTGCTCCATAACAAAGACGGGGTATTACAGGAGAAAGTTGCAGCGGCGGCGGCGGCCACGGCGTCACCCCGGAGCCTCGGAGGCGAGGGGCAAGTGGGCGAAGGGAGGAGGGACGGCTGCTGCCGGAGCAGCTTAAGACCAAGGAATTGAAAGGGCTGTAGGGGGAGGCAGTGCGAGCCAGGCCCAACTGCTCCTCCTCTTCCTCCTCCTCCAAACTCGCAGGGTTCAGCCCCAGCGCTCGCTCAGCCGCCTGGAGCACCCGGAGGGACGGGAGGCAGCCGCGCGGCCCCGAGCTGGGCAGGGTCCCCAGCCGCCATGGATAGCGACGACGAAATGGTGGAGGAGGCGGTAGAAGGTACAAGCATTTCTCTGGGGCCGGGGGAGGAGTCGCGGAGGGCAGGGAACGCGGGAGGAGTGGCGGGCTGCGACCCGCGCGGCGGCGGGCCCCGCGGC